CTTTGTAAATTCCTTTGTAAAACGGCTCTTTGTAAATTCCTTTGTAAAACGGCCCTTTGTAAAAATCTTTATAAATTGGCCCCTTGTAAAATGGGTCTTTATAAATCGGATCAAAAAAAACGTCGGCTAAACACGTCGAAATCAATATGCAAACACACACGATTTGAAGCACACATATGGAATGAAATGTCGACTGCTTCCCGTTGAATGACAACATTTTTTTTCTCGTCAAATTGAACTGTTTATTCATTTTTTTTTTGAATTAAAACTCTGAATTGTGTTCGAAATACACTAATTTTTGAACTAAATACACCAAAGTGACCGAATCGAAAGACAATTTTGAAAAAATAACCAAAGAATTTACACTCAAAAATAAAACTTTACGTTTTGTTCGTACCGAAAACCACATACTTTCACTTTTGCTGACGCCGTCTTTCACTTCGGATGTTCATCTCCAACGAAATTTAATACGATTTGAGCGGTGAGCTCAACTGAATATAGTCTTTATACCGCGAAGAAAGTGAACTTTCCCCACCTCCATCGCAAATGCAAACACAACGCATTTGTATTTTAATCAAAAATACCATCGATTTCAGCGTGATTGTGCTATATATTTGTGTTTTATAAGCATTTTTCTTTCTGAATAACCAATCGATACAGTGTATCAATGATACACCGACAATTTTTCGAAAGAACTGATCTTTTTTTCTTCAAAACCATGCATTTCTTTGGTGTTTATTCAATTTTTTCCGTAACAGCTAGTGTATTTTCTTAAATTTCAAAAACACATTCAACATTCCCAAAGTGTCGGTTAACTTAGTGTGTGTCGCTCCGAGCGACTCGCTCATGTAACCGTCTGCATCAATAAGTCTCGGAAGAGTAATTGAAGTAGGAACAAACAAAAAATAGAAGAAAAAACAAGTCACTGCTACCAAATTTTTTCTCTCTTTAGCGGCAGGTATATAAGATGCTGTCTTACTAAGACAGCTATATCCAAATATGGTATGTGTATAATTAAAAGGTGCGTGCGATCTCCGCATAGTTAATGCTCTGAGAATTAATCCAAAGCAAAACACGATACCAAATATGCTTTCAAACACTCGTTCTTCTTAGTATGAGTCAATGGCCCTCTGTTTGGGGAATGTAAACAAAACGCGCGATGGGAACGTTGATGACAAACCATACATCGAAGTGTGTCTGTGTGTGATATCAAAATACGGTGAATGAATACATGCGCCGCATTACAACACGATCGAAACGTTGAAAAAGAGAATTGCTAATGCATCAATGAAGATATTTTGAATGGTACCGGTACCAACGGTCGTTTGTACGGATTAATGGAGAATATTTCTGCCGTTTCCCACTCTCTCTCTCTCTCTCTCTCTCTCTTTCTTAGCATCACTTCTGTGGTTATGAATTAGAAAGAAATGTGTATTCTTTGCTAATCCCAACCGCAACATTGACATTGAAAATGAGGTTGTATCGATGACGTGAGCATACCGCTACTGATATTGTCCAAGTAAAGTGCTT